TCCACTTTCTTGCCTTATCACTCTTCTCTCAGGACTTGGAAGTGTTTGACAAGCTATGTTTTCCACCTGTGCCAGCAAAGTTCCTGAACAGGTCATCCTGCCCCCTGTGCCTGCCTGTCCAAGATACCTGGCACTTACAGCATGAGACATGGATCTCCTGTCTGACTGAGCGCCAGGTATGCAGTGCCTTGTTGCTCTGGGCTTTCACAGATGACTTGTAGATCTCTCCAGAAGTGGCTCAGAAAATTATTGATACAGAATGGCTTATTGATGAAACCATTCTACTCTAAGCTTCATCAGAGGCTACTGCTGGGCTTCACATTGTCCTGCCTCTGAATTAATTTGGGGAGGAAGCATCAGTTGCTTGACTTAGCTCTAAGCATGCAGAGCTTGTCTTCACTGCTTTGGCTGGGCATAGCCATAAACTACAGTCCGTCTGAGTCTGTGTCTCCCCTGCTTATAGCTGGCAGCTGGGTTGGTGCTGACAGGCATGGACCAGAGAATTTCCTCCATTACAGAAGTACTCAGCAACAGGTAGGCTGGTCTGCCCCAAATTAGATGTGACTATGCCTTAGGGAATGGGTCTGCATTCGTCTTTACTGAACACAGTACCACACTGAACAGCAATGAGTTATCCACCTTAGGAATATGGTTTGGAAATCTTACTGTCTGCAAGTAGTCCAGACTGACCCCATCCTGTTTATCAAAGCTAAAGGGTTTGCAAGTGACAAGACTGCAAAACAGTGTCCAGTGAGCTACTACTGGTATGGACTAGGTCCCAAAGGTCTCTGCTAAATTCCTGTCAGAAGTGGAAACAGGCACAGCAGGGAAAATAAGGCTGAATGTTTGAGAATTTTTGAGTGTTTTAGTGTAATTTGCTCAAACAAATACTGGGGTTAGAAGCTTTTCTGTGCAAAGCATGTTTATCTGGGGTGTTATGCATGCACACTGAAATTTTCACCAGTGCCTTATGGTAAACTGAATTTTTCTTTGCTTGGCTTCTTCCTCTAGTTAGGAAAAGCAATCATGAGTTAAGGAAAAAGGAAGGCTGTAATGCCTCTCCCTTTTTCTTCTTCACTGCTGAGCCTGAAGACACAAAAGGAAGTTACGGGGGCCTCTTGTCCCTGGGTGGGGTACACTGCAGCAAGCTGCCCTCAGTCCAGTAGCTCAGGTGCTCAAGGGCAGGTTCCCCTGAAACCAGGCTCAAGCAACAGCACTCCACCCTGTCCTTGTGGCAATCTTGAAGTCAGGCCTTCTTCTGTTCCCTTTGTCTTCAGGCTGGACAGAAATCCTGGTCTGCTCTCAGTTTCACAGGTTCCCTTGTTTCTTTCTCTGGTGTGATAGTGGAGAGGACCTTGTGTGCCTCTCCCAAGAATGAGAAGCCATCTGGGAGTGTTGGCCTTCAAAAGCAGAAAGGTGAGATTGTGACAGCCTGTTGGGTAACAACAGATTGATTCTTGCTTCTTTCTGTTTCAGAGATACAGCACACTTGGCTAACTGTGCTCCTGTATCTGAGAATAGTGGAAGTATGCCAGGATCTTGCATCCCATTGCATATCAGAGGGCTGGGAAACTGTACATCACATGTATATTGGGGGTGGGAATGGTAATACTGTGCCTGGAAATGTTTGAAGTGGAACAGTGATAAGACTATCACTTATGATACGGATGATGGAGAGGATCATAGTGATGGGAGGGAAAACACCTCTAGCAGGTCCAGCTTAGCGACAGACTATGCTACCTGTGCGTGAGCTCATGGTGTGTGTGGTTCTGTGCCTCCTCAGGCAGTCTGCTAGCCAGTGATCACAGTGTGAAGCTCAGCATCTCAGTTGCTCCAGGCTCCCCTGTTGTGGTGGACATTTACATTGCTGCCACCTATCTGCAGCATCTCTGGGGTTTGCTGCCTGGAGCCAAGATCCTCTTCCAGAACTTGGAACGCAAAATCTCCAGGTACCCCTGTCTTTAGAGTCCTGATCTAAGCCACAGCTCCGGCCTCTCTTATTGTTTTTGAAACTACCTCTTAGTCTCTCCTCTCATGTGGACTTAACGTCATACCGTGTCCATACCTTCGTGTCTCCCAACCCCTTGCTACAAATTATTTTCCTACCATGTTACAGACGAAGACAAGCCCAGCCATGCAAGAAAATGGAGCAGTTTGGTTTCTACGAGCTCTTTCTGACATCTACTCTTTCATATTGCAGATTCCATAATGTTTATTGCACATACATTGCCTCCAGCTGTGTGAGCATTGTATCTCTGCCAGCTTCTCACCTACCTCATCCTTCAAGGTGAGTCTGGGATCTCTTCCCACCTTACAGTGTCCCAAAAAAGGTTTCTATGTTCTCACATTCCTGTTTCTTCTAGTCCTGCAGGAGAACCCTCATCCCCCTCGCTAGTGTTTCTATATAACTTGCAACCTCACCTGCAACACCTGCCTCAGGCACAGATTTTATGCCATGTGACCTGTGTACTGACTCTGTCCCTGCAATGGGTTTGCTCACTTTGCAGCAGCATCTTCAAAGAGGTATTCAAGTTTCCATAGAGATGATTTTTGAGGAACCTTACAGATTGTCTACTCTAAAACATCCTCTGCTACCATGTAGAGGAAATAAGAATTCCTACCCCAATTCCGAAAACTCTTTTTCCAGTATCTGAAAAGGACTTGCTTATTAGAAAGGGACCAAAGTGACAACTGATTGAAAGTATGCCTGATATCAGGCAAGCTGGCAGCTAGGACTGGGGTTGAATTGGGGGACAATCCTACTCTGTTAATGCTCTGCTTTTCCAATGGTCACTGCTGTTGGGGTTCAGCACCTTGCAGCCGGTGACTTTTTTCCCCATACACTCTTCCCAAGACACTCATTAGAAATGCAGTGAAGTTCTTTAGTTCTTTAGTCCTTTTCATACTCAATTAGGGGAGGGTTAAAAGAAGTAGTGGCCCTTCCCCTTCTCTCTCTTATACCCACCAGTACATAGCTGTAGCTTTACTCTTCCTTCAGGGGAGGTGCACCCGACACAGTCCTCCATGTCCATCACACATAGGAGTGAGGCAAGCCAGTGCACGGTAAGCGCTGTAGAGATTGGGTATGGGAAGAGGTGGGTAGGAGGGAACAAATTACACCACGGAGAGGAGGAGAAAATCAGATCAAGGATGGGATGTGGACAGAGTATCAAAGTTAGAGTTGTCATATCTTCCCAGATGTGAACAAACCTCCCTCTCTCTTTACTGAGATCCGTTGTCCGCAACATGACCCTTGTGAGGAAGCCAGGCATTGTCCTGACCTCCCTCCGCATCTTAGTCCTCCTGCTCTCTCCATAGGGTGCTGGTGGAGGACGGAACAGGTGAAGCTTTGGTGCTGTGCAGGAACCAGCACGTGGCAGCAGTGCTGGGCCTGAGCCGTCTTGATTGGGAAGCTCTGCAGAACTGTGTGCAGAGCAGGGGCAGAGTGTCCATTCAGCATGGGGAAGCCACTGGCACAGGGGTGAGTGGGTTATTCTGGTAGCGATTGCAGCATGCTGGGCTTGAGCCTCATCTGGACTGGATTTCCCTTTGCTGTGGGTGTTCCAGTGGCTCCCTGTCTCCCTCTGCACGACCACTGGCAACATACCCTTTCCTTCTTCAGTGTATAGAGGAACCTGAAGATTTCATTGCTTGCTACCTAAGGAGCCTGTGCAGGAGTCCTCTCATCTGTCGCCCAATCCTGCTGGATTTCAGCCTAGACAGGAAGCCCTCCAAGATCCTGCAGCCTGGTAAGCAAGTGCTCTTGGCTTTTATAATAGTGTGGGAAAGAGGGAAGGAGCCTTCTCACCAGGCTGGGGAAAGAGAGCTGCCTTCCCTGCCCAAGGAGGAAGAATGGAATGTGAATTCTGTAGTATAGAGCTAAGATGTGTCTTAGCAGAACCATGGCTACAAAAATAATATTATAAAAGTTACTATATACAACAATATTATACATTATTTTTTTTACTTTACATAAAAGCATAAAAATAGTATTGAATTGTCCTCGCAGTTGTGATGAACAACTTTGAGCTTCTGCATTCACATTTTACATACAGTTCCAGGAAAATGTATCAGCTAAGCAACCAGGATAATAATTGTTCTGAGGTGTCAGTAAGGGGGGAGGTGGGGGTTGTATGTGTGTGTGTGATAGTGGTCGTGGGAGAGAACATGTTTTATTACCATCCCCCTTTTGCCCTCCCATCCCCGGTATTAAGGTACAAGTTTATTTATGTGGTATGCCTCTTACACACAAAGCTTTCTCTGTTTTAGAGCAGCAAGGTTCCCAGTCCTTGTATAGGACAGGATTCTGGCCAGCCAGAGTTACTGTACAGACCTCTCAAATCAAGTGGGTTTTGCGTCAAGACTAGGCATGAAAATCCTCACCACGGTTCAAAGCACTGACATGTTTTGAATTCATGGGTGCTGACGTCTGAGCTCAGGCTGCCACAACTGTGCAGTTGCTGTCATCGAACACTGTCTGTAAGGCCAGGTTGCTGAAAGCAAGAAAAGATTCAAAGCCCAGTGCATCAGCTATGTGACCAGCACATAGTTCACTGCATTTCACAGTGTAAAATGTCTGTTTCCTCCAAGTTGGAGAGATGCTGGCCAGATGCATTCACCTGCCTGTGTCCTGGCTTCATTAGTGATGCTGTGCTTTGAGGTTTAGCAGATGTCAAGCAGCTACCATAAGGCCTTCCCTCCCCCAGTGACTTCTACAGCTGTGTGCTAGAACAGAGGAGTCCCATACTGAGTTGTCACAGGTTGTATCTTTCCCCTTCAGCTCCACTACAGATGAGAAATTTTCGGTGTGGTGAAATGGAGTTCGTGTCGCAAGTGGGACCTCGGCCAAGCCTGCTGTGCCTGAATGTTGAGGAAGTGGAAAAAGGCACCTTAAGCTATCTGAACAACAAGAGGATCAGGAGGACATCTAGTCACTGCCAAGTGGGAGCCACTGCTTAACGTCTTTCCCAGTGGGAGAGGAATTATGGAAATACCTACTGGGATTGGGAGCTTTTTTTAATTTCCTTTCCAGGGGGAGCGTGGGTGTGTGAGCACAGGGTGAAGGATGCAATCAGGAAGCTGCTGTGACTTGTGGAATTCCTGAATGGTCATTCTGGACCATTGCCACCAACGATACTGGGCAATGTTTTGGAAGAGAGATGTTCAGTACTTTGGGCCTAGGGCACACAATGTGTGTATTCTGTGTGGTAGTATCTACTAAATAAAGCTATTAAAATACAGTTTAAATAACACCATATATATTTGAGTATTGGAGTTTACTTGCTCTATGGGGAATGAGGCAGAACACAGGTCTTTGGTTTATGAGCCATAGCCAGGCATTTTGCAGATCATTCACTGTCTTCATGTGAAAATGTACAGTTGCCACCCACAAGTGACAGTCTTCTTAAGCCAATTGAAATTATTAAAATGATGTTTTTAAAGCATTTCCTTCCTCCAAGAAGAGAAGTGAATAAGTTACTGTTTGGAGACTAAATCATGGTACTAAATCACAGGATTATACAGGCATTGTTTTGCAGCTTAAGCAGTGGCCTGAACGTTACATGGGGCTGGTAGCAAGAGGAAGGCAGTGAGCTGTGTTGCAAATTCACAACACACTACAGGCTTGCCCATCTGTTCCTGATTAGGAAGGGAATGACGGCAGTGGCACATGCCAGTATCCGTGGTGGCACAGCAGACAAACCAGTGCAACATGTGGGAGATACCATTGGAAGAGATTCCTCTCCAGTGTGTTTGCAGCGACGACCAAGTGTTCTGCACTTGCTTTTGGCAAAATAACATCCAGGCCCCTCATCTTGTGCTATAGGCTAGTAAATTCCACACACAATTAATTCCCCGCCTTACTCGCTGTGTAGTGCTGACAGCATGTTTGAACAGCTACTCTGTTCTGCATTTTGTTTGTTTAGTGTTTCCCCCGCACTTCCCCCCTAGCTTGAACTTTAGGCACTGGGTTTATGGAGCATGTGTAAACTGTCTTTCCTCTCAGGGCCTGCTGGCTGCTCCTAAGGTGAAAGCATGGGTGGCACAAGACCCAAGATATTCAACAGTTCTGGGACTCCATTCTAAAAGAGATTGCCAAAACAGCTTAAAGCAAAGGTCGACACAAGTTTTGCTGTGACAATCTTTTTCTGTAGGTGCCTTCTGTGAAATGGCAATGATTTTGCTAAAGCTTGCCCCACACCCTCCCCAAAGAAAAGAAAACAAAACAAAAGCAGACAAAAAAACCCCTCTCAGCCTGAGGAAAATGCTGACTGTAAGTGGTGTAAATTAAGAAATCTAAATCTGATTTAAAAGTGCAACTGGAAGTAGTCTTATAATATGAATAACATAGTCACAGACAGTACTATGGTAATAATGGGAAGTGCCAAGTAACAAAGACTTATTTAAAATAAAAAAGGCAAATTTGTCTCTATATCTATGTTTGATAACTGCGTTTACTTCTGAATTTGAATTTTTCAGCAGTATCTTACTAGTCTCCCTCTTTTCTTCCTGGTTAGGTATGTTAGTCTTCTGTCTGCTGCCACACTTCCTACTCACCTGTTCCTCTTTTATTTCATGTTACAAATGCAATCATCAGTCTCATATGGAACTGTAGATACACTGTTTGCCTTTGCCAGGCTGAAGACCTAATGTTTATTACAAGCCAGTTGGTTATTTTCTCATCCATCAGTATTTTGCCATTCACAACATCTTTTTCAGAAGGGGAGTTTTGATTATGGTCTTCTGAGAAGACCATATAGATTAACTAGCTGTCTTACTTACAGTTTTATTAGTACATTCAGAGAATCACCAGACATGAAACAGATGAATCGAATCTGTTTGGGGGGGAATTAAAATTTGCTTGGTTTTAGTACTCTGAGTTTGAAGGACCAGTTCTCAGATGCATTGCAGGAAACCCTGCAATCCTGTGTGTGAGCTTCTGCCCATTTGTGAGCTTCTTGTCACAGGGTTACTTCAGACAAGAGAACACATCTTGTTCCTGTGGTCAGAGTTTTTCCTTTATTTATGCAACTCTCCTTATCACGTTCCTTTCTTTATGAAGCCGAACAAAGTATCCTGTTGGCATGGGTAAGAAATAATAATACAAGAGAGAAATCAGCTGGCTTCATGTTTGTGCTACTACATGTTCTGGAACTGGCAGGAGCTTTTAAAGTTCTCAGCCCAAGAGGGAGGAAAGCATGAAGTGTGGCTTGCCATCAGGGTAGCTGTGCAACTGTTGGGCACAGAAAGACAGAGATGTTCCTTTTAGCTGATTTGCTGTAGCTCTCCACTTCATCACCAGTTTACCTCTAGAGCTTACCCCCCAAAGCCAAAGCTGATGAATGCTAAAGGCAGTTGTCCCGTACTTTGACTATCTACAGCCTTCCTTACTCCAGGTCGAGGTGGGATTGCTTAGGCTGGCAGCTCCCTCTAGCCCTGTTCAAGGTATCCCTACTAGGTACTGTTTACTGAGGGTGCTGCACTGTGCAGTGGAATTGTCTGAGTACAGTGGGTGCAAGCAAGGCTTGTACTGCAGCAGGCTCTTGAGGGAGAGATGAAAGTCCACCCTGCCTTGCAGTCATGAACTGTAGCCAATGTTCAGAGGGAGCACAGAGCAGCAAGACATCTGTCTTTCAGGTCAGAGAGAAGGTTGAGGAGGGAAGGAAAAGCGAATGAGGGGACAAGAGATGACAGTCAACGGTGTAAGAGAAGAATCTTTGAAGTTGCAGAAAGTGATGGGAGAAGGCAGCAGGAAGCCTGTGCGAGGGACAAGCCATGCATCCCACCTAGAGCTGGGGATGGGGAAAGAATGGGCACAGTTGAAGGACATGTTCTCCCATTCTGGCAGGCTTGAAATAAGTAACAAAACTCAGAAAGAGGGCCTATGTATACTGAGCATATATGCTTGTGAGTTTCTCTTTTGAAGCTTACCTCCAGGTCCAGCAGTGTTTCCAACTGTTTTGTAGGGGCTTTATATCAACAACAAATACAGGGGAAGCAGAAGCATCCAGTGACAGGCTGGAAGGGAAGAGGACACTGACTCTGCATTCAGGTTCACCAGCTGCAAGTTGGTCCCTCTTGTAATGCTGAAATCTGTAGCAGAAGAATGGTGAGAGGCTACCAGAATGGGGAACACAGCAGGGAAGGCAAAACAAGTGTGTGTAGTTATTCCTCCCCATTTTTTCTGAATATTGATAAAGACAGACGCTGCCTCTTGTGCTGGAGACCTGTTTCTGTGAAGCCCTCGCTGTAGAAGAGCTATGACCCCCTCATGTAGAACAGGGGAAGATATCCAGGCTTTTTGGAAAGTTCGCTTTCCTATGAATAAAATGGCCTTTTAAATAAAGGGAAAGTGCTGGAGTCAGAGAGATTGTCGTTAGTAACGGCTAAAGAGGCCTGCTGGTTTGGTACACAAAAGGGATCTAAGCTGAACTGGCTAAAGAAAGTGTCACAAGTTGGGGTTTGGGGCTGGTCGGTTTGGTTTTGGTTAACATTCAAAGGAATACATTCCCATAAAGTGTGTCCTCCCTTCCTTCCCATTCCCTGGCAGTTCTGTCCCCATGCCAAGAGAGCAATCATTACTGTGAAAAACATCTGAAATAGCAGGACCAAACACAGACTGCTTCCTTTATCCCTGGGGCAGAGAGAGGCGCTTGGATTTGCCACAGATTTCAGTTCCTTGCTTGACTAACACAGGTGCCGTAGGACCCCCCGACACACACAGGAGCATTGTTTAAACTCTCTTCTCCCCTGTGCCTGTGGTCCCTGGGTGGTGTTAAACTCTACCTGTCACTTTGATGTTGCCTGTAGCCTTCGCAATGTTGTTTTCAATCATGCAGGTGTAGGTGGCATTAGCAGTAATGTTGCACAGAAAGGAAACCACTTTCAGGGTGATGTTTTCAGCATTCAGCTCGTAGCTGGTGTTGGCAGCGTGAGGCAGGTGCTCCCCGCTGTCGCTGTAGGCTGTCCAGCGCACGGCGGGTCGAGGGAACCAGCGTGGGGCTTCGCACTGCAATGTGTTCCCACTGCTGCTGTTCTCCATGTGGACCTTGGGGGTGCTGAAGGCTTTGGGAGGGGAAAGCAGAGGGAAAGTCAGAAAACAACAAATGTCTACGAACTGGGTGTGAAACACCCAACTGCATCTGCCAGTCAGTCGAGTATTTCTAGAGTTCATGCTGCTCAGCATCGCATGTAGCCAAACCAAAGACAGAGGCTCAGGCAGAGGTCTGTATAAGTTGGACTGCAGGGGGATGACTACAGGGGATCTGAAGACTCCTAGGACAAGGCAGTTCAGTTTGATAAGATCTGCTGAAGTCATGGCACAGCTTTTGTGTCTTTCAGTAATTCTGCTTAACACTTAGGAGCTGGG